GATTTCTGACCCCAACAGCATTGCCAGAATTTAAATGAACAAAACCTGCCCSCTCCACCTCCCACTGGGCTCGCTATAGTTTTCCTGGGATTTCTTTGAATGCTGCTCTAATCTCAAAAGCCTCTAAAGGGGAATGATGAAGAGTAAAAGACAAATAAGARTGATGAACATAAACGTTTTTGGTTTAAATCGAACGTGGATTTTATGATGCCTACATTACAAAATCTGTGCTGGTGATCACCTTTGATGTTATCTACCTGGAGCCTTTGGGCTAAACATGAAAAAGTTCAGGCAGAGTTTATCCCCTCCTCATTGAAAATGCCCATCTAATGCCCTCAAAATATCTCTTGAGCAGTCTTATTTCCCTTACACTGCTGAAAGGGCAAGGAAAAGAAAAAGAAACATTTTTCTTTTCCTCTGAACCTCGGAGAGCCTCCAAGAGCACAACTGGGACAAACGGCGCTGTGGCCAGGAGGTTAAATTCACGCTACTAAGGGGCACTGTTCAGTGAGTGCTGATTGAGCAGGCGCTCCAGCTTACCAGAGCACAACTGCCAGTGACAGAGCTACATGCAACGCAGTGATGCGAAACACTTTCCTGTCGAAACCTGAAGGGAGAGTGAAGACAATGTTATTTCATCAACATAATAAGATTAATGCATAAAAAGTACATGGTGGTGAGAATGAATGCTGAAGGGGTGAAATGTCTCTGTCTTTCTCTTTAGAGGACAGTCCACCAAGGAAAAAGACACACTGGGTGAATTTCTTATTCAGCGGGTGTTGATAGGACATACAGAACATACAGTGGTTGTAGAGTACAGCTTCTGCTATTGATGTTTCCTGACAAATATCCCACCCTGACAAAGGCTTGATGCGCTCATAAATTGCCAGAGATACCTGTARGAGATAGCAAGAGACGTCAGGGACAGCAGGAAGGGCTTCTGTAAGCACATCAGCAGCAAGAGGAAGACTAGGGAGAATGCTGGTCTGCTGCTGAAGGAGGAGGGTGCCTTGGTGACAAAGGATGCAGAGAAGGCAGAGTTACTAAACATCCTCGTTGCTTCTCTCCTTGCTGCTAAGGCTGGTCCCCAAGAACTGTGGTTGAGAAAAGCCTTCAGGACCATGGAGTCCAGCTGAAGCCCCTCAGCACCATCCCTGCTGACTCGTGTCCCCAGGGCCTCATCTGCATGTCCCTCCACACTGCCAGGGATGGGGACCCCACCACTTCCCCGGGGAGCCTGTTCCGGAGCTTCACGGCTCTTTCCAGGTAGAAATCCTTCCTAAAGTCCAACCTGGCCACCCATAAATCTATGGGCCCCAATGGGATGCACCCAAAAGCACTGAGGGAATTGGTGGAGGTTCATCACCTTCCATCACCTTCCATTATCTTCCATCACCTTCAACGGCTCATGGAAAGCTGGGCGGAGAGGAACCTCATGAGGTTCAATAAGGACAAGTGCAGGGTCCTGCACCTGGGGAGGAATAACCCCAGGCACCAGTACAGATTAGGGCTCGACCTGCTGGAAAGCASCTCCAYGGAGAGGGACCTGGGAGTCYTGGTTGACACYAAGTTAACCATGAGKSAGCAGTGTGYCCTYGTGGCCAAGAAGGCCAATGGGATCCTGGCCTGCATCAGGAGGAGYGTTGCCAGCAGGTCAAGGGAGGTGATTCTGCCCCTCTACTCAGCTCTGGTGAGGCCGCACCTGGAGTACTGTGTKCAGGTCTGGGCWCCCCAGTATAAGAGGGAYRTGGAGCTTCTRGAGAGGGTCCAGCAGAGAGCAACTAAGATGATTAAAGGAATGGTACTGCTCTCTTATAAGGAGAGACCGAGTTGGGCCTGTTTAGCTTGGAGAAGAGAAGTTTGAGAGGGGATCTGATCAATATGTATGAGTACCTGAGGGGAGAATGTAGGGATGAAGGGGCCAAGCTCTTCTTAGTGGTGGCCAGTGACTGGACAAGAGGCAGTGGGTAGGAGTTGAAACACAGGCAGTGCCATCTGCATGTGAGGAGGAACTTCTTTCCTGTGAGGGTGACAGAGCCCTGGCACAGGCTGCCCAGGGAGGCTGTGGAGTCTCCTTCTCTGGAGATCTTCCCACCCCGCCTGGATGCCGCCCTGGGTGTCCCTGCTGGAGCAGGGGGTTGGACTGGATGATCTCTAGAGGCCACTTCCAACCTCAACCGTTCTGTGATTCTGTGATAAATCAGAAGCTGAGTATCTGTGCCTCATGTTGTTTTGAGTTAGTGCATATTTTAGTCTTTATATTTACAATACACRTTATACAAGGAACAAAGGTCACTTTTATCGTGGTTGCTGCTATATTGTGCATAATAATTAACAAAGGCTTTAAATGGCCTTGAGGGAGATCAYGGGGAAAGTATTGCTCTTCTCTCAGGAAGTGGTCAAACCCTATGTTTCAGGCTTTCTTCAGGTGCAAAGCTACTTCCAGAAGTTCCTGCTTGCCACTCCACGCGCAATCTGCGGGGTGGTCCCAGTTCCTGCTACTTTGCTGAAGAACATCACCTCAGTGATTACACATACCAGTGTCATCCCTTGAGCCTTGCTATAAACCAGGTCTCTTAACAGGTCTAGACTCAAAACAAAGCACGTCTTTTGTCTTAACACACATCCTTCTCTAGGTGTTATCAACAGCAAGTTTTCTGCTTGTCTTCAGGAGGTCATACTCCAAAAACCCTCTCCAGGCTATAGAGGATCTGTAATACAGAGCTTAACAATCCTTGTCTTTCTGATCAGATCCTGTATCCTGATAAGATCAGAGCATAAGGCATAAGGCAGCTTGTGCCAGGCATCTGAAATACATAAGCAGGATTTGGGAACCTCTTGTCTCTCAAACTCTTAAATTTCAGCAGCCCACCAACAATAAAATACCCTGTTGTGCCCTGTTCMTCAGCCTGGCTTTCTCTGGAAGATTCGTTTCCCACACTATGGGAATCCATGCACACAATTCTCACGTTACCTTTCATCGAGCAGTCCTTGTAGTGTATCATGGTGTAGTGTATTATGCTCCTGCCTGCTTCCAGGACTGCTCTCTTTTGCTTCAGATCTAGGTTGGTAGTGTGTGAGGAGAGGTTCCCTCTCTACTCTTTTGATGAGCTGGTCCTCCTAGACCATTTTCTTTGACTGAAAAGGTGTTTTCTGCATAGCGGTGTTAGTTCTGTGCTGGCTTCTTTTGTCCAGGTATCCTTCACCTTCCAAAACATCACAAAAATCAATGAGAGGTGCTTCACTCCAGAGCAAGACTCTTACTGCAGCAAAATGAATGGTCAAGGGAAAGTTTTGTCAGTCTTTCTCAAAAAGCAAGATCTTTATCAGGGAGAGCCCAGTGATCTGTAGTCACCTAATTCAATGCACACAATGGATAAACTAGCTGCAAAATCTGACATAATGGTGTATATTCTTGAAAGTCAATAAAGTTCAGTAGAACAGCAACAGTCATAGACAAATAGTGGCTACTAAACTTACTCAGAAACTTACCTTTCTCAAGCCCTTCCTTATAACTAAGATGGGTGGTTGTTTGATGTGTGAAGCAAAGACAGCCGGAGGTACGAGCAGGAGAGACACCCTTTCCCTGGGCTTCTTCCCTGAGAGGTGAAGACTCAACAGCCTTCTCTCCACTCTCCCACCTTCCTTATGTCTTTTCTAACCTGATTAGGAATAGATTGGTGCTACATAAGATAAAAGACTTTCCCACCAACTGTCCCTTTTTCCAAGAAGCAATATGTGCTGCAGGTTGGGCAAGGTGAAACTGAAAGCGAGTTGTAGCTACCACCACCCTGTACAAAGTCTGGCCACCCAGGAGCCAGCCCAGTGACTCCTTTGGTGAGATCAGCAGAAGTGGAATGGCTGGGAAATGAACATATTCCCAGCAGGCTACACTTACTGAAAAGGTCTGTGGGGTGATTATGAGCAGTTACGATGCAATGTCCTTCTGTTCTTCCTCTGTAAGCTCTCAGGTCACACTTGCTCTTTTCTAACAGCCTGCTCCTGACCGTGGCCAAGTTTGAGGCCTTGAAGAAAGAAGCTGACAAGTTCACCTCGGCTTTTGGGGACCAACAATAACAACAGCCCATTCAAGCAGTAGTTTTGAACTCGSATTACTTTGCTGCAGAACCAAGTTACGATCTCTCTTATCCTCTTGTAAAAAATGAGTGTCACAGAACGCAGCGCAAAATCCGGGACAAATATATTTGCTCACTCACATTCACTACAGTTCATTTACCCCCACACAAGGGGCACTGGCTTATCTTTTATATCCTTTAAGACTCCTCCTTTGCCATTATCTTCCTGTTGCAAGCAGAGAAGAGAGAATGTTCGGTGTGATTTGCTGGCTTTGCCATCTTCCTCTTGTCATAGTGCATGGCCTTCCATTAAGGAGACATCTGTGTTGTGGTCTTATCAGACTGCAGGTCTTCTGGGGTTGCCCCCATTCCCTGGATGACTGTGAGCAGATTATTATCTATTATTATCTATTATTATCTATTATTATCTATTATTATCTTCATTATCTATGAAGGCCTTTCCTTTAATCTTCTAGTGCTTGCACACACAAACACACATGCACAAACACTTCCCTTCATAGCAGTCCTATTATTTCTGTTACAAACTTCAACATAATTTCCTTCCTAAAACTTGGAAGCAGACTTTCAGATCGATTAAAGTAAGAGTTAACATAACATTGTTAACATAATGTTAACCCATCTGCAACAATGGTCAAAAACATATTTTCGGAAACACTGATTTATTTTCTGAACTTACAGGTCAGAGATGCATGCTGAGGAATCCTCAGGAGACTGAATGTGTTTGGACCTACGCAAGCTAAAATATCTTGGAGCGCAGAGTTCCCCAACTAAACTGTGCAGAATGTTGGGGGTGGAGGGTGGAATCCCTTTTTTTTTGATTTGAACCTGTAATTCGCTAGCTTTCCTTGATATTCACTACTTCTTGAAGTGGAATATGTAATGATACCCATTCGTTGATGTGGATCCTGTGATGAATCCACTACAAAGACTTGTTGTATTGTAACAATCTCCTCAGTTTTTTCAAATCTTGCCATGGAYACACAAATTCATTCTTTCACTTCAGTACTTTTAGGCTTCTGATTAAAATACACAATCATCTACAACATAGAGTAACATGTACAACAATTTTTATCAAAAAGCGTTCAAAAATTCATAATTCAATATGTGCAAGCACACATGTAAGTCTCCCTGATTTTATTGACATTTAGTACCCTTAAAGTTGAGTGAAACTGAGTATTGTGCTGAAGAGAAGGTMATTACATAATATCCATGATGTCTATTTTCCGAAGATTGAATTTTAGAAGCCCCAGTTGCAAATTTAGTAATGCCAGGTGACAGCAAAATGAGATCCCTATGCAAGGTTCCAGCAAGAACACTGTCCATGCGTTCCCTTAGTAAACACCAGCATGCTAAATTGTGTCAAGGCATTAAATGCATATATGGCTATAATAATGTAGTACATTTTTTAACTGGGAGGCATCATCTCCTGCTGTGTTTGAAGGGTTGCCTGAAGAACCTTCTTCTGGAGTGCACAGAGCATCTTCATTAGAAGATGTGCTGTCTGCAGCTGAGTCAGCAGTGCCAGTGTGCAGCATTTGCTGGAGCCTCTGGATACCTGTAAAAAGGAAATACAGATCACTATAAAATTCTCTTTGCCAAAAGAAACAGTGAAAACTGACTAGACACACAGAAATAATTTGCACCGTGAGAGTTTAAACACAGAGGCAGGTTGCTCAAAGAGGCTGGATAATCCCTGTCTTTGGTCAGTCTCAAAACTTGACTGAAGAGGCCCTGAGCAACCTGCTCCGACTCACAAACTGGCCCTGCTTTGAGCAGGACGCTGCTCCCCTTCGGTATATATTTGTGTTTGTGTGATTCTGTATTCTCATTACTCCCGTTCCTTCACAAACATTTTGACAACAGTGTACAGCACTGATTCAAGATTGATAATTTTATGACATAAGAGATGGGTGAATTCTTCATAAACCATGTAAAAGCCACATAAAAATGAGTGGTGCTGAGGAATTCTCACACGAGATTATAAAGGGCAATTTAGAGAGAGAGAAAAGGTAATTCAAAGAGAGAGGAAAGAACTTTACATAAAATATGATTCATTGACTCCTGATAGAGTTCAAGATGGTGTTTGAAATGAAGCTCTGCAAACTTTAAAAAATTGGTATAATCCAAAGCAAATACTTTGCAATCTACACTCGGGGCTGAGCTAACACTTTATACATCGTATTTCCCTCACAAACTTGGATGGAACAATCGAATTTGAACTTATCATTTGTAATGTTACATATCTTTAAAATGTGCATGCTACTTCATGGTACATTAAAAGTAAAACAAACTTACACAAATAAATCTTGTCTACAGAATCTGCGAAAACCAATCTAAACCATCCAGGCTCATAACAATAAAAAGCTTTTCCAGGGCTAATCAGGAGTTTTTCATTGAGGAGCTTCTGCCATAATTCATGTTCAGCTTCAAATGTCTGTGATTTCAAGAACTAAAAAAAGAAAATAAAACTTTGTTAAAGACTGAATAATTTCATAAATTCTTTTAAAGGACTTTCAGGGACTAAATATAGATGTGTGCAACAACATACGTGATTGTTATTATTATTTTTTTAACATCCCTGCCCCTTTGCAAACTTCTTACATACTTTTCTGAAGTCTGCCCACACATAGAGTCCTCCTGAGCTTTTGAGTACTGGTATTCCAATATCTGCAAGTCCATCCACAAGAATATTCTTTGCTTCTCTAAGTCGCTTTTTGTTGGTAGGAAAAAACACATTATCCAACCAATCTACCAAAGCAAGAAAAATATCATTCTGTTTTATTTCTACCTATAAAGGAAAAATAATAGAGTGAAATGGACACATTTCTAGCGTGCCTAACCTCTGTCACTGATGAATTGGCTGAGAACATGCTGAATGGGCCCAGGACAGCCATGGAAGACAGCCAGCTGCTTCACAGCCTTCAGAACTTCATGATTTCTGGTATACAGCACTCCAACTCTGATACCACTCATGCCAAAATCCTTGCAGGACAAAAAAGAAGAGAGAGAAGTAAAATTTTATGTGATGCTTGTATTTTATCGAACCACCATCTGCAGCCATTATGATAGATAGGATAGAAATTCTCAGAAAAATTAGATTGTCACATCAATTGTGTGGCAGAATAAAATTTTCTTATCCTGTAATAATAACATTTGGTGACACAGAAAGAAGAACAGATGAGGAAACACAGAGACTAAATTCAGAGTGGTCAATACTGTCTATTTAAACCTGTGATCTGCAACTGGCGTTCTTCATAAGTGCTTCCAAATCTACACAAGTATACGACAGTGTAAATGTATTAATGTAAACTYTCCCTGTGTTCTTAAGCAGGAAGCCAAATTGTGTCACAGGGCAAGACATAAAATCCAGCTTTCCATTCTCACAAGCTGCTTAACCTGTCCAAAGAATTGTTAACCCAGTTTTGAATCGTTATTATTATGGAGTTCTTAGATAAGCTGGTGACATTTTATGCATGTTCATTATCTCCAGATGGAGGCAGCAATAATAAAAGAGAAGTCAGTGACTTGCCCAAGGTTGCCCTGTTTCGAAGCAGCCATCAGTTTACAGCTCCCTCCAAGACAAGACAAGGCAGAAGGCTACAGATCCAAAATGAAATCAGACGTTTCAACTTCCACTATGCTTCCCCACACCACAAGCAAAACTTTTCATATACAAGCATTACTTTTTTCTGTTAAGTATATCACAAACTCTACTGTAACAAATTTGAGACCGTTAAGGAAAAAAGTACACAAGCAAAAACTCAGTTTGGCATCTGTAATACAAATTATGTCAGAATTTCTGGGGAGAAATATCATCATTTAAAATGTAAACATAATATATTGACCTACCTTGCTAAAACCCCACATAAAATGTGTCCGTTCTGGATCCGGTACACTGAATGAGAAATGTTAAAAGAATTGCTGTTATAGAGGAACAAATTATATGGGTTACCAAAAATTAAAATATGTAAAACTAGAGTRTGCTTTTAGTAAAAATTGTATATAAACCTTCAAAGTGTTATGATGCTTTTTCAGAGCTCTTGTAACAAAATTATCCCACAACACACACACACAAAGTGGAAAAGAAAACAATTTGCACTAAGACATAATCGTCGGGTTAAAACTTCCACAGATTCTTAAAACTTCCACAGATTCTTATTACAGTGATCAAATTCATATTGAAACAAAATAAATGGTGGAAAAGGGCCCTTAATGGAGAATAATTTTTTGCTCAGCTATACTGCATTTCAGGCAATGAATGAGAGAATCAAATGTTTTAGGGCATATACTTAAATTGTGTGGTGCAACTTAACTAAATACATCTCAGAGGACTAGTTGAAGCAGTTGGCCTTTCTCTTTGTGTAACTTCTTGCAAGGAGCTCCAAGGCTGAAGATTTCCTCCTTCAGACACTTGAAACTGAGTGAATTCTCACAGTAACAAGCCTATCCTGATGTCATGGTTCGTACTGGTTTGTGTGTGGCTCATTTATGGTTTGTGTTCTTGTAAGGGTAAGGCAATACCTGGTCACTCTTGCTTGGTGGTACTTGGATGGAGTTGGGAACCATCAGTGTGACACTTAAGCAGTTATATAGAGACAATCACTAACAGAAAATAACAACAAAGAAAGTCAAGTGGCAAGGTGATGGAAGTGTCTGCCTGTCTTCGATTGCTATTTCTATCTTGTGCACACCAGCTGGAAGCAAGGGATCTGCCTTTTAAAGCAGTCTGTGAAGAACATCTCTCCTACTAACTAGTCTCCTAGTTGCAAAGGTCTGGATGTGACTTAGTTATACTGACTAGCCAGCTTAAAAATGGCATAGGTTCTGTTTAGGATTAAATATTTTCCAATCCCTGCTAAGAAATCACACTTACTTGTGTAAGCTAAGGACACTGGTGAAGGTGGCATCACCATAAACAGACAGCATATATATTTCATCCATGATCACATGAAGTTCATGTCTATGCACAGAGAAAATCAGGCATATGAACATATTTAAAAGAAAGCTCTTTGCATATATATGTATGGCAAAGTACCTATAAATATGCCTATTTGCTATTATAGTCATTCTACAAGTTTTACCCTCAAATCAATTATTTTTAAGGTGGCAAGGTGTACAGTAAGCACCTGTGCATCACCAGATACTTATCTGATACTTCCCAGCAGCAATAATAACACTCCATCCCATAATATCTGAAATAAAATCTGGCTTCATGTTTAACCCAGTGGTTCTCAGGACTGTGTAGAGTCTCTACTCAAACYCTACTTAAAATTTCATACAAACAGAACTGCATTCTATAGTCTTCTCTACAAGACTTAGTGAAATTTGAAAACAAATACAGATTTTAGATTATTATTTATGATAACTCTCTCATACACAAGCAGCAAACCCTCGTATAAATATCAGATTTGATAGTAGGAAACCAGGGGCATATTAGGATATAGCAAGTAAGCAGCAGAATGCTTTAAACCCGCAAGYTGCACAGGTTCCCCTGTCTAACAAAACCTCATTTAATTCCATTRTTGATTTCTTTCCATATTCTTTGTAGAAAAGCAAGTTTGATTTCAAAAAAGCTTTTACATTTCCTTTTTTTTTTCTAGTCGTTGTCCTCGTGACATTTCAGAACCAACTTAAGTCGATTGCATCCTGAAATCCATGCACCATGCTGGGAAAAAAAGATATATTTGCCATTTAAATAAACTGCTGAGTGGAAATAATGCATTGAACTCTACCAGCCTTCACCGCTGTTTCTGTGACAAGAAAGAACATGCCAGAAATGCAGGAACATTATGTTACTCTGTTTCAAAGTAAAATAAATCAGTGGGAGGCTTTGGGAGATAATCAACAATTAATACTGRCCTATTCTGTTTTAGATTGTCAGAAACTACCCAAGAACTATTAGATTCTGAAGTATGTTCAGAATTTTGCAGCCATTCGCTGGCAAAATTTCATTGAAATAATAAAGGAAGTGCTTTTGATCTGTCAGTACCAGAAGGATTCAGGAGCTGTTAAGTCTTAGAATACAAGTGCTGAGCTGGGCAAAGGTAGAAGATGGGGAATGGGAAAGAAACATCTTGGGGGTATATCTTCCTTTGAAGGAAAAAGAATTGCTTATAGATCTTAAACACCAAATAAAGGATACTAAGACACTTTAGACACTTAAATTACTCTCGGACAATTAAATTACTTCCCCTCCCATCAAATTCTAATATTTTCTATTTTGCTCATATTTCAAGTGATGACACTAGCCCTATATCCATAATTTACTGCTAAAGACTTGGATAATCATTTGTTGTCACATTGCTGAGCTAGGCATCAGAGCAGGTTAATAAAGAAATTTCAATAAGCAACCGAAAAGYTTCAGTGGTTTAAACCACACATTAAAAATATCAAACAAATTTCATTCAGAAACACATTGGACTGTAATTTAAATAACATATATTAATGTTCTCAAAAAGGTCAAATAAAAGGGACAGCTATATAAGAAACATGACAAAGACACTGCAGAGCACTGCCTGGGAACACGTGCAAACCAAAGAACAGGGTTTTCATTACTGCTCCGTTGAATAATGGAAAATTAATAACAATGCAAGAGCTCTGGGGCTCAGACCTGTGTGCAAACTCCAGACAGTCTCTCAGCAGCTGGGCTGGGTAAATGTCCCCTAACGGATTGTGGGGGTTGATCAGGATTAACGCTCTGACTCGGATACCCTGAAAAAAGAAAAGTCAATAGTTGGAGTGAYGTCAAAGGAGGATTGTCAAGGATGTAAGTTAGACAACACTTCAGTTAAGAGTTAGCTTCTGAAAATGGGTAATTACACATAAGTGGATGTTCTAGTAACTAGCTCGCACAATGAGGTTCCAACTACACAGCTCATTTCAGATTTTATACAACATTACCCCCACAAACATACTGAACAGTTTGCAAATGAAAATCAAGTTAACCTTCTTGCTAAAAAAAGAGAAAAAATCAATGCCAGCAGGCAAGGTACAATGTTGTATGGACTGACATTTATTCTTGGTTCTACAGCCATACTTCCAAAACATTTTCACAGGAACTGAGCATATTACTATGAGCTGAACAGAATTTTGACTTTCACATCCTATAACCAGCTAAGTAAATAGTTTCTCTTTGCTGATTTTGTTTGGTTTGGTTTGGTTTTTTAAATAAGAGACTTATTTAGAAGTCAAAAGGTTGAAGATTTAATTATGTAGAAGTCAAAAGGTTGAAGATTTAATTATTTGGTGTTCTCAGAGAGGTGAAGAGGGATGAAAGGAGATCTGGATAAAGAATTTCGTCCACACTCCTATATGAGATTATAAAATGTCTGATGTGTAATGAGAAGAGTTCTACATGTCAAAAATTAGAGTATAAATACAAATATAATGTATTTTTTTAACTCTACAGGTATATCTCAAAATCATTTACTGTCTATTTGCTAAAAAAATCTTTAATATATATTAGCATAAGCTATACTCGACAAAGATATTCTCATGGAGCACATTCAAATACTGGGCAGCAGGAACATTCGAGAGAGAAACTCTGTTAGCATGAGGAATGGCCTTATTATTTCATATTTGAGATAAACCTGAAATTAAATTAATATTTTTAATTTCTTYTTCTAAGGAGGATTATTTGCGAAGAGTGACTCCAGAGGAACTCCAGAAGGAGAAGAAAATCACTTATGAGGGAGCACTGATACTTGCTCTCCCCTCAATACATTTTTTTTTTTTTTTCTAAATATTATGGCTACTATGAGAAAAATAAACAAACAAGAAATTAACTTTTTCTTTTTCTTTTTCTTTTGCCTTTAATTCCATATAGAGGAGGAAGAAATTACTTGGCATCAAATGAAGAATTTTGCAATCTTGTGGAAAAGCAATAGCAGCTTTTCCACAAGAACCCCTTGCAGTTCGTCACGTTTCACACCTGACATGTCTGGAGTAGCAGAAGATGCTGAGGGAGCAGGTAGTGATCATAGGAACTGCTGCTGTGGGATGGTGGTTTCTCCACTGCTAATTAATTATTCCTCCAGGAATTTATTAGATTCCACRCACAGATATGTTTGTAACATCAACTCTGTTAATTATTAACACTTCCAGCTCTAGGAGGATGGCGGAGACGTGTGTGCCCTGTGATCCTTATTTTGTCCAGCTCCCATTTGACAGCCCCAGGAGCAGAGCTTGGGGGCCAGCTGAAACCCTTTGCTAAGATCAAGTTGCCATTTGCCTGAATGCTCCATCTCACACGGACTGGCACGGGCACAGGAGGTGACATAAACACACAGACCAGGTCTAAACATAGGCCCCATGCTGACAGAGCAGCTCAGCTAACCAGCAGAGCTGCCACATACCTAAATCAAACCACAACAAGAAAACCCTCAAAAATCAAAAGGAACGAAGTCCTCACCCAATAACAATTTTGTTGCATGTTTGTATGCATCCAAAGTACCTRCTTTTGTTTATATGTGGCCTTATTTATAAAATTGCCCTTTACAGTTGATCTTACTTCTATGCTTTACCTGTTGTCAAACCTCACTGTGGATCCCRGACTAGGACACAACTCTATTTGACCTCTTGTTTTGAAGTCATTATTAATACCACTACCACCTCTTTTTTGTTTGGTTGTTTATGTTTGTAAATTGTTTCACTGTCCATCCTGTGCTGTCTCTAGATAGATCTTTATGAGGAGGATTGCAGGCAGCTGAACATTTCCAATTTTCCATGAAGTCTGTGGATAATGAACTTTAAGATGACGAGAATGTTCCAGATATTCATTAGCTGAACGAAAAACTATTGAACACTATTCAATTGTAATGAACACAAACCAAACAAAGCGTTCCTTAARTAGTGCAGTTGCAAAAGGAGAGGGAAGTAATAAAAAGTGTACATAACATACAATGAGGCAAAATATTAAACAGTGCTGATGCAAATAAAATCACAAAAAATGACAGGTTAAATATTTTGAACTATTGTAGTTTCTGAATTCTGGAAAAATCATGTGTTGCAAGGAACTTTCATAGTGGAACTATTCCTCCCCTGTCTCTCTGACTCTCCAACAATACTACATGGTACACGGTCTGCTCAAAGTCTCAGCACTAGGTCCTTCACTGAACCCCATAAAAATCCACTGAAGAAGAAGACTGGTCTTTAAAAACAAATTAAGATCTGCTCTTCATAGAATAGGRAAGGATTTTTCTCTATATTTTATTATATTGCCCATGTTACAAAATCAGTTAAATTCCAGTTGCTAGGGCCTGCTTCAGTTATAAGATTGGGAAAGTTTGTAAACATGAAAATATGCAAGCGATAAAGTGCTGGGAAGCTATGATGCTTACAAAATAACTAAGAAAACAGAAAACCAGAATTTACTGAATGCTATTCTTACCTGTTTTTCAGCTCTGTGTAGTGCAGCTTCTAGYTTTTCAACAGTTAACTGGAAAGGGTGACCTTCTTCATCTGTCACCTGCAGAAGAAGAAAAAAAATCAACAAGAACAAAAAAAAAGAAATGTGAAGAAACACTCATACCCAGCAAAAATGTATTTGCTACTGGTTTTTAGCAAATAAGTAAGTTAAACAAAGCAAACTTTTGATCTTCCTAACTCAAGGAGGGAGAAGAGCAATCCAGCAATATTATCATAATCTGAAATTAAGAGAAGTCTTTCATATGCAACTCAATTATTTTTATATGCTGTCCTTATAYAGGACTGTATTTTAAGTGACTTGCAGAGCAACTTGGGTACTTAGCAGTTTGTGGGTTCTTCATCCCCTCTCACAGCATCGCTTGGTTTTATAGAATATTCTGCCTCCTTTTGCTTCTCCTCTCAGAGTACTGAGCTCCCAGAGGGGAAACCTGTGCTGTGCAGCCCACCTGGCAGTACACATTGCAGTGACTGAGGGGAAAAAGGGTCCCCAGCAAAGCCCCTTCTGGCAGGAGTCACAGATGGGCAGCTCTCCCGTTGCAGCTCAGAGCAGGGGAGCGCCTGCAGAGCGAAGGTGACCCTGCACCACAGGCTCAGCAGCCCAAGGGGCTGCAGGGCGGGCTTTACCTCGCTGCCCAGGGGCACGTGGACGGGCTGAATCCCACCATAGAGCCAGGTTTTCGAGTTTATCCCGCCGTAGCACGGGGTTGGAATTAGATATCCATCTGAAAACGTGAAAGATGGAATTCACATTTCTCATGAGCAGTTGTTTTCATTGTACTCTAAAGGACTAAACTGGCAACCTAAGAACTGGGCATTTGGCTTAACCTTGAAGCCTTTACTGCAGCCTAAAAGCAAAGACACTCTGCTAGTGACAAGAAATACGAGGTCTCACTTCATTCAGTCAGACAAAACACAAACAGGTTGTCATAAGGCACAATACTTTTATATTCACAGCTAACTAAAGTTTTCAAATAAAATTAATCAGTTTTTACTCACCACCAGGGTCGCATAATACAGTTGACAGGGTAGCAAAAACAGCACAACAGCCACTCATCACAATAATCTAAAAAAAATGGAGTACAAACTTGTAATAGCAGAAATACCAGGACCTGTCTTGTTTGAAGGTAACATTGAGATGACTAGAGTAGTTAAAGCTTTAGTAAGAGTTTTTGTATATAAAAAAAATAGTTTTGGAACTACATTTTCTGATAAACTAAAGCATCACATGCAAAACTTAAACTAGTCTAAAGTTAAGGTCTTGTCTCTTTCTCCTCACCTCTATGTTTTCCCAAAATGAAAAGGTTTGCYTACATTCCTGCAGATTAAAAACAAAGCCAAATCCATAGTATTTTTAAGGTGCCTGGGTTTGCATTCACACTCTGTTGGTGAATCCAGCAGCTTGCCAAACATGTAAATCTCCACTTTTTCCAAAATGTCTCGGATTGCAACATGGTCTGTCTGTCTTTCCCTTCCCAGTTTAAAAATGAAGGTCAAAGAAAGTTTGGAGAGAGCTCCTCAGAGAACAGAAACATGTTTCAGACTTCCAGCTTCTGGAGAAACTGAGCAGAAGACACTACAGCTGCCATACATACAGCCCATAGCTTTTGATTTTGCTTTCTGCACTGTTGTGGGAACCGAAGGATACAGCAACTTTCTGAAAATACCTGAGAACTTCTCCCTACACCTCTTCCCCATTAGTCTGGCAATTTTCAGTTTATAACTCATGCCATATAAATCCTGGACTGTCATTCAAAAGCAAACAAATGAACAAGAACACAAAAAAATGGAGTGAAAACCCCAATTACCACACCCCTCATATTAATTGCTCAATAATTTCAAGTTTCCCACTTTTTCAACAAAAATATACTCTAAGATGGCTCCTGTCCTACAGCAATTCATCCTGTGGTATCTTGTTGGCATTTGTGTACAGATTTACTCAGTTTTTACCAATTTAAGAGAATGCAAAGCTAAAGCACTTGTCTTACATGGTCTGGATTTAGTGCTTCTGCAGCTCTAGCATAGTCCGTCAGGAATCTGGCAATTTCTTCTCTGAACCTGCAATACAGTATTGAAGTCCACTTTGCAATCACATATATCTCAGAAAAAAACAAACACAGAAGGAAGTTTACCAAGATTAGAACAAAAGCACAATCCATTTGTAATACAAGCTTTACAAGAGCCTTGAAGGTTTTGTTTTTTCCTGCAGATTGAATGATGTTATTCCCATAGATACCCATTATTCTTGAGGTGAAAGAACGCAGGAGCCATCCACTACCTTCACAAACAGTGACGGTGACTCAACTAGAATTTCCATCAAAAAACGAGGTGGTAAAGAGGCATCTTTTGACTTTTTGGAGACAGGTCAAGAATTTGGGCACCAGGAACAGTGAAACCTGGGTAAATGCACATTAGATCAGGACAGACCTTCAGCCCCAGTGAAGGCAATGGTAGAACTTCTACTGAGTTTCATGGAGCCAGTGTTTTACCTGCACTCTTTGCAGCAGACACAGCTCCAGTTTATCCCTCACTATGTCTGGAATAAACAATCCCAAGAAGTCATCATGAGTTCTGGAATTTTGATTGTTTTTTTTTTCTTTTGCAGTAAACAAAGGTAGGAAAAATAAAAGGCAAACCCAAAAATCCTGAAAAGCAATTCCTGAGCAGGAATCAGAAAACATGTCACCAAAGCATGAGCAGAAAATGAGCCTGCCCTTGGGTTTAGCAAAGGTGAAATCACAGCCAGCTGGACACGAACAGGGTGGAAAAGAGGAAAACCGACTTCTTACCTTCTAGTACCTTGTGTATCGGAATAGCAGAAAAGATCAGGCTCCAGATAATTCATGTCAGGTCTKCTGAGCTAATTACATAAGGGAGACACATGGCAGAACACTATGTTCTTGGGTGTTTCTGTTCTGCTCTACCATATTTATTTAAAAAAAAAAATCAGTATTCAGCAACATTAAAGAAGTTTCAAAATTCCTGAGTTGCAATTATGTTTGCATTTTGCAGTTCTCTTTTTTTTTGTTCTAAGGTATTTGACAGCAACAACATTAAAGCATCACYAAAGCACAGGAAGAAAGTCATGAAAGAAGTATTTTTTGATCGTTCTATCATGCATTAAAACAAATCCTGAACATCACATTAGGGAAAAGCATACTAGCTAGGAGATCATGCATTACTTTTGAGATATATCAAAAAACAAACAAATCTGTCAATATTTACGACATTAACTCTTAATTCAAGCATCAATTTTGATTAACTTCTCAACTATCAGGGAAAAAAATGACGGTAATCGTGAGCTTTGGCTTTGCAGATGTGCAAGGCACCTGCTAGGGCATAATTCTACCCTCAGAAACACCCTCTTTGAAAATTGCCCTTCCCAAACAACCTTTTTTTTTGTTAGAACAGGCGCAGAATCTTACAGGATTTCTACTTCAAGCCTGGAGAACACGTTCAATCAAACATGAGTGAGGTTAAAGCAAAGCCAAAAAGATTTTGGCTTTCAACCAGGGGCAAGCTTTCCRAGTAGATACCATTTTGCAGGGCATTTTCAAACCTGAAACTCGAGCAGCCCACGCCAAGGACACTTATTTGTGAGAGCCGCTCGTCCCAGCACCGTCCTGTGCCACGGTGGCCGCTACCCTCCCCGTGATAAAATATTTGCTAACCAGGCACCACAAAACCATCCAGAACCAGCTGGCAGGTAAGTCCCCATCAGCCGGGAGACGGCAACACTTACTCTCTCCTCGATTAAATCAAAGCAAAGCTTGTTCTCGCTTGTTCCCAAGTTGAGAATGCCCTGGAAGAAATTGCAAGGAGCCGCATCATGCGCCTGGAGCAGCGCCTGCTTGGATCTCTCTTGGATGCCCRTGAAGCATCCGCCCCGGCCTGCAGCGCCCACAGGAAGCCTTGGGTGCAGACAGGGTGTTTTGGGTGCGGGGGAGCGCGTCGGGGCCCCCGGGGCCCTGCAGCACCTGCGGGTTTTGGTGGCGGTCGAAGGGCTCCGCGACGTGCAGGGCGAAGGCCTCGTCCAGCAGCGCGGGGGCCCCGGTGGCAATGCAGGCGCCGCGGGCGGACAGGGCCGGCACCGGGCCCGGGCCTGGCCAGGCACCGCCAACGCTCATCCTCCCGCCGGGAACCTGCTCCCGCCGCCGCCTGTGCCCGGATCCAGGGCCGGGAGCGGGCGGCGCGCGAGGCTGCGGGATCAGTTACAGCGCGGAGGGGACGCGGGGGCGGCGGGCGCTGCGGCCAGGACCCAGCGCTCCCTCCCACTGCTCCCTCCCGACAAGAAGGCTCCAACAGGCCGGCTCCTCAGCCACTCCTTCCGTGATTTATACGCTGTTTTTTTTTTTTTTTTTTAAATAAGGACATTTTGTTCTTTAAAAATCAAATCGCGTCTTTCGGATATTTTTGACGCTTATAAAGTGGCAAGTGACTCCCAGCAAAACGGGCTGTTCACTGCTGGCAGCGCTTCCGCGCCAYGCGCTCCTGAGCGGCTTTTTAGCGCTGACCAAGGCCATGCTGTTCCAGCTACAGAACCTTGACAAGATCCGGCGCCTTGGCAAGATACAAGCAGTCTGCTTTAGCATCAAAGCAATACGTATCATCAAGACACAATGTAGATTTCTGTTCCCCGAAACTTGGCAAAGACAAGGGACGTAGAGATTAGCATTAAGTGTCCAGCTGATTGGGGTGAAAGATCCACATATTTTCCCATAGAAATCAAATTCCCCAGAAAAAAAATGCCACAACCATAAGGATGGATTTAATCCTAGCAATGTTTTTGTTGGAATTCCATCTGACTGACAGTGACAGGTTTCTGCAGTCCCTGCTCTTGTATAAAACTGCAGACCTTTGACAGGAAGGGAAATCACTCAACAACGACACGTCCCTACTAGGCAGTTTTGATCAAACCCTGGTGCCAACATCCACTAGTTCCCCGGGTCTTATGTGGGAGTCCTGTGCCTCGGTCAGGTGATAATCACTGCTGCAAGGTCTTAAAAGCTGAGTTTATGCAAACAAGGGATCTTTCCCCTGAGCCATCATCACTCCTGGCTACATCATTTCACCCAGTTTGAGTTATTAAAAAGAGCTTTTTGGAAACGAGCACGGTTCAGCACCGCTGAGAGATCCAAACCCACCYTGGTTATCTAATGGCAGCTAATGCGACACAGCTGCAGAGCAGCATTTCTGGAAGGCAGCATTCCTGGAAGGGCTGCAAAAGCCCCGCCAGCTGCTAAAGGATACAGGGGATGGATTTGCACACTTCAGTTTTATTACCCTTGTGACCTCCAAACCAGCTAACTGATCTGGCATTTACCAGGCACCATCCAAGGATGGGAAAGGATTTTACCCCAAGCCTCTCAGCTGCATCGCTGAGACTGCACTGCTACACATTTGTCAATAGATTTTTGCTCCAATATCATTATTTGTTATTCTTTTGCCTGCTTTACAAAGGGGAAAACCAAGGCAATTGCTCCTTGGAGCAAGATTTTTGCAATTCAAATCACATATGTTAATGTAAATAAATCTATATGCATGTAAATGACTTAAAGTCTAAATCAGAATTATGATAGAACTAATGTCCCAAGAAAATGTAACTGAGGCAGAGCTTGATATTAGTTGATARCCATTAAACACAGTATATATGACAACAGTTGTACTGAAATAGAACACATTATCATGTGGCCAAGTTCCCATCTCCCCTGTGCTTCCAAGGGAGTTAAATACTTCACTTAACCCACACTTAAATCTTAAGCCAAGACTGTGTCAACAGATGGCTCACTTTTTTAAAGGAGAGCACATAACTGCAGCAAAGCCTCTAAAAAACTCTTGTAATGAAATGTGCTTGGAAGGAGCTCTAGTTTAAAATACCTCTGCCATCCTCAGCTGTGGTTTTTAAGTTGGAGCTATAAATGGACATTCACCAATGATTCCTGTGACAGAGCCAATGAATTCCTACCCATCAATCAATGTTAACAAACTGTAGCCCAGTCTCCTAATTTCATTCCATGGGGATGCAAATTCCATAGGCTGCAAATACCAATCTATGCAAGAGTTCCCCTTCTTATGCTGGTCATTTCCAAGTTCCTGCATTGCTTAAAATTTTAATCGCTATTCTGGCTCCCTGGAAAGGCCTGGCTCTCACCCTGCTCTATACGCCCTACAGGAGGAGGGTAGCAGATATTAGATATTAAATTACTAAATCATTATAAACAATACAGCCTTTAAAAGCTATTTTTATAATAACTAAGAGTTATGAAGTAAATTAAGTAGTAAGTAAAATAAGATGAGTTAACTATGTAATATTTCATTTTACACAAACACACCCTCCTGTTAATTTCAGTAAAAGACTCCATGAAAAATTAAATTTAAACAATGCAAGTCTTGAAATTTTATTTTGAAGAATTTACTTGAGGGCTAGGGGAATTTTAGCTTGTTTCTCCGGTGCCAGGAGTAAGGGAAAACTCCCTGTCCCACTGTAAGGTTATGTTGTTCCACGTCAAATCTGTTTGGCTGAGTACTTTTTAAACAAGAAGTAAATCAAAAATAATTGTGCAAGTTGCAACCAGSCTGTTAACTGTCATGCTTAAAATACTGTCAAACTGAGGTCTACCAGGTGACATCTGTTACAAAACATAACACTGATGCAATCTAAGCCCAAGCTTAGATGTTTCTCTCTCAATTGCATTGTAAGCAGGTTAGGAAATTGCTTATCTTTTTTTTTCTTTGGAAAAAGAACAATGCTTTACAATAAATATTTGGGAAGTTTTTACTGTGCAACTGAAATTGTTTTTCAAACAAAGTGTGATTTTTGGCAAAATAGCATAATAATAACAGTAATATAATAATAATAGAACTTATCGCAGTGGGTAGTATTCAGTGTCCCTAATTCTTGGAAAAGTGAGTCTGAACGGCTATGACCTAAGGCTCTACTAAATCCCCTCAGCATTCAAACACCTGAGCTTTCCAGTACAGTTAAGTGCATGACTGAATCTGCATTTCACAGAATTGGCTCCATTTATGTCATCTTTCCACAGAAACTTACTTTCAACATCATGAYCTCAAAACAAACACTTACCAGAATGCAATGACACCACATTGTAGTGTTCTGGGTAGTTTTTTTTTTTGTCATTAGTAGAATCAACAGACTCAATTTATAACTTCGTAACTTYGGATCAGTCAGGTCCATTTTTCCAAGCCTGCATTTTAAAGATTTATCAGCTACTTAGCAGTAAAGAAATGACTCTGAATACAAGTAGCTTTTACATTTAAATTTGCCTAAGCACCTTTTAAGAAAACGATATGGGAATGACAGTTCCTATTGTTTCTGTATTACCCTACTATATTATTTCTATATTATATTAAGTGATACAATCCCTTCCGCGTTAGAAGCGAGATGAGTGTTCACATCTATATTTATCACTCATTTCTGGAGAAGCCCCTTCACTTGGAGGACAGACTGGCTGGCAGGTGAGGTCAGTGGCAGCTGCTATCGCRGACGACAGACAGGAGAAAAGAGAAGCCACTCGAGGTCCCCAACCTTCGTGCTCTTTGCAACAAATATTCACAAAACCAGAACTCTGCATCATGTCAACTAGTCGGAAATGAGAGACGAGTTTAGGGAGGTGTTAGGAGTCACCATGGGTGACTTATTCAAAAAAAAATTCATGGTCTCAGTCTAGTTCTACTCAACACTGTTCAACAAGAATCTGTTTTTGTTGACCATGCAACTGGATAAATTATTTCATGACAGTGTAACCACTACTGCACCTTTTCTGTTTTCTTCACGAGGTGGAGGAAGCTTTGCGGAGGCAAAGGCTCACATCACATATCCACATACTGCTTGGGATATTTCCATGATCCACTGCAGCAGAGAGCCTCACTGCTCTGTATAATATAAMATAGAAATTTTCTTACTGCCTCTTTTCACTTGTGGTGTATCTTCTAAAACAGAGCACKGGGAAAAAGTCTCCACTGTCCAGTTGATGCTTCCCCTACAACAGTTGCACAGAAGGGAATTATTGTCCACTTAGCTACAGACATTGCCCTCCTTAAGCACTGCAATTACCTAAGCCTAAYATACTCTGTTTAAAGAAGTGACAGTAATATTCAAGTAATTCAATGAATAATTCAAAAGTATCACTGAGATCATGTAACAACTTGTTATTTATAGAGACCTCCTTTCATGGATCAAACCATACTACCCAAGGCACCAGTCAAGGTGATGTCTGTACCTGATCTGCTTCAGCACACTGGGGAAATTCTCTGCATATAGAAGGAAGAGATCAGATTTGGAGGCCAGATTTTGAACCTACACAACCTCCTTTTCAAAAACATTTTGTAAGACAATATAGTTCCTAATCGTTATTGAGTGCTGGCAGGACCTCTGTGTGTAGATGTTCTTTTCAACTTTACAAGAAATACAATATGGTATTTTGAACGATTCTACATGTGAAGAGCAGTAAATAACATGATTGTATGTTCAATACTGTAATGTGCTCTTGTAGTTGCTGATATATTTAAATGAATTCAATAAGGAACTGGAGCATACAGTGGCACTAAGTAACCACACACTGAGAAGAGGTTTGAGGAAGGCTACTACTAGTGCAACTGAAGCGGTGTTCTGAGGAAAAACCAGGCCTGATACTTGATCACACTACCTAATTAGGTAAATACTATTTACAGGGAGGTAAATACTTGGTAAGATCAGTAAAAACAACCACCCAATTCCCTCTTTCCCTCTCCCACACAAATACTAGTGAATATATACACAGTTTTGAATAAATTTAGAATGAAAATTAGCTAGTTTCCAAACAGAGATGTTTTTGGACAGCCTCCCAAAATAAATGATGGTGATAAGAACGCAAGTTACATCTCACTGCAACTATGACATTCTTTTTAATAATAAATAGTGGCAGAAGACAAGATGCAGTGATCTTGGTTCATTTTTTTTTTTTTTTTTTTAAAGAGTAGAGTGTATAAATAGTGTGAACTTGTGAGAATAAGTTTGCTGCATAGATTTGGAAAACAGATTTGAAGAAAAGATGTATTTGCTGTGATGAAAGAAGCGGGGATGGGAAATTATTATTGATTTCTGGTAAGTGTACATTGATTGAAAAAATAAAAATAAAAAAAAAATTCAAAATAACTAGACATAATATAGCCAAAAGAAATTTAATATCAATCCGTAGGAAGGAATTTTCTTCAAAATAAAATGTGAAATAATTTTACAGCATTTAAAAGAAACTTATCTTCTATTGGTGCATCAATAAATCTATATAGATATAAATAATCTGATCTATTCATTTAAATATCAGGCTGACACTTATCATTTCCAGTCACAGTTTAGCAATTAAAAGCATGTGGAAGTTATTATGCTAGAGTCACTTTCTGTCCTGGTCTGAATGTTGAACCAACTTGTCCTTTCCTCTTCTTGGGATTCTGAAAGTTCTCATATCTGCAAAGAGAAAAGATATTAGCATATTATTATGAATGACCCTTGTCTGCAAATGTCCCTTCAGATGCACATGAAGGCAACACAGAACTGCATATTCTCCCCAAACAAACTGCAAGTCTCCTCACACCAGATGATCACTGGGGCTAAAAATACATGAGACTTTTCATGCTCTGATTTAATACAGAGACTTTTCTGCTCTGTTTTTGGAAGGAAAGGAATAGTATATATAAAACATGGGGATACAGGCTCCTGGGAAGCACGTCTAGTTCCCATTCCTGTCCTGTCCTTTTTTCTTTCCCCTGCTGTAAGAAGAATTTTTGAGCTGAAGAAGAGCCCACTCTAACAGTCTTTCTGTCTAAAGAACAGCAGATGAGATCACAGAACATCCTGATGCCAACTTCTCCTTTTTCACTCCATTTATCTAAGTGCAATCCAAGGAGATACATTAAGGAGGCACATTCTCCTTTTCAGGAACAGTTTGTCCCTGCTTCTGCAGATTGCCTCTGTACTTTGCGGGGAACACGTCCTGGGGGCTCAAAGACAACCTGCCTTCCCTCAAGGGCAGCACCATGATGGCCACTGCACTGAGCCAAAGAACAGCCACCACCTCTGCAAGGCAACAGCAGCAGGAGCTGGCATCAGGGCTTGGAAGCAGCTAAAGCAAGTCACAGCAATGTCGTGAAGCTAAAGCCATGTTACTAACACAGGAACAAAACGGCCCTGTAGTCAGCAAATCAGTCACTGCAGATTTCACAGTCTGAAGTCACAGATCCTGGGGAGGGTCAGTGCAATCCCCTGCAGTTTTGGGCCTGACAGAGGGAAGTGCAAGAACCCAGTGGGTGGCAGCATCGTTCCCAAAATCATGGCAAGCAGTATTTGTGCACAGGAGACAAATTCCATGCAAGCTCCAAACAGGAACACTGATCATCTAAAGAACAATGAAGTATTCATAGGGGAAACCAGAAGACTGAATTAAACAGTTACTTTAAGCTACTGTTGGGAGCACTGGCAGGAGCTATGGGATGCAAGGCAAGTCTGCTGCTATCCTGGATTTGTCTTCATCAACTTCTGTCTCATGAATGACAGCTATTTTCATCATTAAAGATCTACTGTGCCTTTGAGAAAAATACATATCTTCCCTTAGCAACCTCGGAAATCACCAGCTAGATGATTYTTATAGAGAGAGTATTAACATAAATTAGTACAAATGAAGGTATAGCTTAGCTTTATAAAGCAGGCAGGAACATCAGGAATATTCTGTGATTGCTCCCTTGTGCTCTCCTGCCTCTCTCTCGTCTCTTTAGCCTAAATGCTGTCTGGGGCAGGAACAAACAAGAAAAGCTGCTCAGCTCCTCTGCCACTCCCAGGGAAAGCAAGACAAAGGGATCAAATCGCCACTGAATCCACAGCTGCTAAAAACTGTCATACTCACAGCTCAGCAAAATTCTTCCAGTCACTTTGGCTAATGGATGGTCTTATGCCCTCAAGTGCAGTCATTAGATGGGCCTGGGTAACAACCACAGCATTCCTCGTGAGCACTGACTGGTTGAGGGTGCTGTCCTCCTTGAAACCAGAACCATGAATGGGCAACAACAACCAAGTTACCAAGGGAAAAAAGGACAGTGACATGAAGATCTGTAACTTTCAAACTTTGCCATTACGTGTATAGTAAAATGTATTATAAATAAAATGACAGCTTTCCCCCTGCCCCCACCCCATATTAATAATATAGAAATATATATATATCTTTTAATTACATGAATGTTAGCGTCTGGCTTATTTCCTCCAATTAGATATCAATTATCTATTTGTGTTATATTTTATTTAATGTTATTGCAGATATAAGATACCAAGAAATGTGAGGAAACAAAACACATTACTAAGTAGTAATAAYAAAAGAAGTCATACTCCATTCCTGTTTCTGTAATTGGCCTTGACAGCATTGATTTCTCTCCTCAGGTGCTCTGCTTGCTCCTGGGTTTCCTGGGATCCTTCCTGAGAAGYTGTTCTAAGCATGGAAGGCTGTGATGATCCTGTGTCTCTCTGACTCRTGCTGGTTAAATCAGGAATTATGGAGTTTGGTCCAGACAGGCACAAAGAGCTCTGCATCGACAGCGTGGAGAGATACAGGAGCTCATTATGGATTGAAAGGCRCAGCCGCAAATTTGGCTCACTTTTTATATCCATTTATTTCTGGAAAAGCTTGCTCCCACCAGAGTGTGTTCTCTTAAAAATGTCATACATCTGCATTTTTGAGGTAAGTTTGGTTCTTGAGGAACGTTTTAGGTTAATTTATAAACGTATTGGGGAACATAAAAACTTTGAACATAAAACAGTCCAGCGTCAGGGGAAAAAAAAAAAGAAAAAGGGCAGCATATTTTTGCAACMGCCTATCTTAAAAATAGTACGGGTCTATTATGTTTTACCTTTTATTTCCCTATGAAAATCCATAGTTCTGAAATCTAGAGAAGTTCAGCTGTAGTTAGCAGTGAAATGACTCAATTTAAATATTCATCAGCTGCAAATTGTCTGTGTGCTTGATAAAAGGGGCAACTTTAAAMGTTCAACAGCAGATCAACGTTCCTGCAATCTTGCTGGAGAACTTCGTTAAACGAAGTCTGTAGGGATCCATTAATGAAACACTGTCACCAGTAAGGCAAGATAAAACCCCTTACAAGACACAGCAGTCAGCGGGTCCCTGATGCCAAGATGTTGGTTTGGGCTCTAAGAATCTGTGCAAGCCAGTTTTGAGAAGAGCATTTCTGACATCCTGGCGGCCAGCTCTGCTCTGCTCCGTTCGGCTGGCTCTGCTCCRCTCCCCTGCAGTCAAATCCTCCCAAATCCTGACTCCCTGGGGCTGCCRGCTGGCACCCACCTCCCGAGCAGCCAGAGGCTCCTTTCCGTGCAGCTCTGCCACGGAAACTGGGCTTCTTAGGAGCAGAAGTGGCAGCTACGGCTTTTTTTGGTGCTAGAGACACACTCACTTGGTCACAGATTAATCCATTAACATGCAGGCTGCAGGAAAGTGAAAGATGTTTGCTAATACTCACTGTTATGTTTATTTTTAGAGAACTGAATAGAGGCTGTTCTGTGGCAAAGCTTTTCAAGTAAGAAAAAAAACCCAAAACATTTTACTAATAGGCTTTGGAAGGGAACAAGCCATTAGGTGAGATCATAAGATCTAGTAAGGACACTGTTTGCCTGATAATGAAGTATTTATCAGTATTTTTGGGTTTAAATATCTTGCTAGAGAACATCCTGTCCTCTTCACCTCCGCCTTAGGCCACAAGGCATAGCATGAAGACAGCCTGAAGCACAAAGCACATGTAGTTGTWTTTTTAAATCCAAACCACTTGCCTACTTCAGTTCTTTGGCTTCACAACTGAAACTAAAGCTTTCAGAAGACGCACAATATTTTCCTCCCCACCATGAAAGTTTTGAAATAAAAGCAGGCTACCTGAAGAAGAGCTGAACTTACCAGTTCTGAAGGAGTCCCATTGCCCAGTTCCGATTCGTAAGAGCTTCCAAAATAAAGCCGATACATGTTGGACCGTGAATCTTCRTGCAGCAACTCAGACATGTCTAGAGAAACAAGGGATTGCTCTAGCCCTGCTTCTCCATCTAGTGCTGAGTCATCCGAGCCACTGCTGTGGTTTAGAAAAACCATGGAAGAGAGACTRACATCACTGTCAGAACTGGAAGCAAAATCCTGTGACAGAGCAAAGACAGAGTATTAGAACAAACTGCAATATGAAATACRTTAAATTATTTCTTATATTACCCAGATGAAAACAGCAATTTTGCAGTTGAGTCTAGCAATCCTTCCTTCTATGAGAAAACATTTCCAAATAGTTTGCTGAAAAAAATCCCTTATCTTTAAGTAGAAATTTCTGTCTTCATGGTAGAATAACAGCTAGAGGAGATGATCTTAAAGTTCTCCTTATTTGCTGTGAACTGCCTCCAAGTACAGCAAGATTATGAAATTCCAATCACATTTTCCATTGTAGAACCATATGGTTCCTGCCTGGACCATTGCCTACCAAGTGCTTTAGCATCTTGTGTGAAGTGGTCTAGGAAATTGTGGTGAGTCTGCTTTTACAGTGCTTAATTGCTGCACCTCTTTAGTCATGATCAACACATTTAAGGTGCTGATACAGTGAGAGGAGTTGGCTGAGGAGGGGAAAAGGTCTTAAGCAATGYGGACCTTGCTGGTGCCTGCTAGACCAGCCAGAGCAGACCCTGTAAGATACTGCCTATCTCTTTTTCTTCTGAACTCAGTTCACACTCAGTCCTCCCCTCGTCTACCCCTCAAAACATGTCACCTCCAAGCTGAATTAGTTAACTGCCCCTAAAGCCTTTGAGGGGCATCCTTCATATTGATCCTTCAAGGATTTTCACACAAAAAGGGATGTAGGGATCTGTCTTGCCAGTCATTCCTTGCAACAACAATAAGTAGGTTTAGCTAAAATAAATCTATTTAGCATTACATTCTATTCATAAAATGACAAAAGCTATATTTAAAAAGCATTTAAACTCATTTTTGACAGTATTCTCACATTAACTTCTAAATATGGAGTGAGATTTTAATCCCGTATATAGAAATAGAGGAAAATGAAATCTTACTTAAAGTAATTTTGCTAAAAAGCTATGTGTGAACTCAATTCTTTCAAGCATAACAGTGCTAAAGCAAAAAKAGAAACATCTTTGATACCAATTTCACTCACCTGTGATGAACCTGAGCCCAAAGTAGCATGTACTGCCTCTAGCTGGGCATTGTACAACAAGGCTTTTAGGTCAGCCCCTGTGAAATGCTCTGTTTTTGCTGCCACGTACTGCAAGTCCACGTCATTTGCCAAAGACAGAGAATGACTGAGAGCTTTTAGGATTTCGTAACGTGAAGTCTGCAGGAAGGCAGAAAAAGAGAGTCAATATCAACCTGTTTTTTTCCCCCGCTTCCTGATTGCCAGGTAGTGCTTTGACCCTCTGCAACTTCCTATCTTGAGGGAATGTATTTAAATGCTGCCCTCTTTGTAGCATCTCCTCTGTGTACTACTAAGGAATCAAATTTTAAAATACAGACATAAATTCTGTTACATTTCCATTAACTGTCTAAGACAAATACTATCAAACGCTATATGCACAAAAAAAAATCTCTAGTTATACAGATAATACTAGGGATTTATCTAAAAGCCATAAAATCTGAACATTGGTACTACTATTTGCTTCAAAATAGATGTATGTCGAGATTGGAAAACASTTCTGTTCACCTGGAGAATAATATTCTAAACTAGAGGCAAAAAAGAGAGGTAGAATCCATGTGTTTTCTTTGTGCATGGCATTGGCTTCTTTATATATAAGGTTTCAGAAGGAAATTGAGTGCTATATGTTAAAGTGCCAAATAATCTTAAAATGCACAGCGGTCATTTTGAATCAGAAAGACACTGCAGAGCCTTTAAACGTCAGACCCAAACTCTGCCTAGGATCAGTGATCCTGAGGATTGTGGTAAACAGCCTTTTCCTTCCCCGGTTTTATGCCAATGCATTGGCATATACCACTAAAAGCAGTAAATCTATACTATGGAGCTACGTGATCAAGTCCACCTGGTTGAGGTTTTGTAATGACACAAAACACACAAAGTATTTTGTGTGAAGAATAAAGCTTGTGATGTTGAYTACACTCCCCATCCTTCTGCATTTAATGGAAAACACCTCATTTCCTTACCTGATCTGGAGGTGGACAGTACAGGCATTTATCCAGTCGACCTGGCCTTAACAAAGCAGGATCAATCAAATCTGGGCGACTGGTGGCAGCAAGCACATAAACCCCTTTSAAAAAACAGAAAAATGTCATCAACACCTGCCAGGCTCTTGCCTCTAAAGAGGGGAGCACAGATGAATGTTTACCTTGCAAGCCCTCCACGCCATCCAGCTGGGTGAGCAGCTGGTTAACCACTCGGTCGGTGACTCCTGTGTTGTCGTGGCCTCGGCGGGGAGCAAGAGAGTCGAACTCATCGAAGAAAACAATGCAGGGCTTGGCTGCCTGGGCTCTGCGAGGAAACACAGGGCTGAAGCTCTGCTTAGGCTTGGCTCACGAGTAGCACTGCTTGAAAGCACTACAGACAATTGCTCTGTGGTTTGGAAATCATTGTAGATACTGGAAAAGAAGGTCAGCTACATGTGTTCTGAGACAGAGGACATGAAACCTGTTTCCTCTAGAAAGTAGATATTCTGAAGAAGGGGATTCCTACTGAACACTGTTCATTTTTATAACACTTGTRTTAACAAAGCTGAAAAAWTTAAAATCCATTCACTGCAGATGASGTACTGGCTGAAGTGCATCTAACCATSACAGTCCACACTGTAAAGGACRTGAAAAGCAAAGAATATGTAGGGTATATTTATATYAGCAAGCAGAGCCCCAGCAGGAGCAGATGTGTAAAGTACAGCTGGTCTTGAGGACCCTAACTAATTTATACTGAGGACCCTAACACTAATGCTCATTAATGGACAGAGCACATTAGAAGGGCTCTTGGATTCATCTGAAAGGAATTCAGGACTTACTCTCCAAGCTCTGTTTAATGGAAAGAAAGAAAAAGAGAAAAATGATTTACTGTTTGTGATCTAAGTCCATGTATTTCTTAGGACAGYATGTACCTTGAAGCAATAGTATCTGTTGCTAAGATGACAAATCTTCACAGCACTAACCTGTTAAAGACATCTCGGACTGCTTGCTCACTTGCTCCAATATATTTGCTGAGCAGTTCTGGTCCCTAAAAATGGGAAAACGGAAACAYGTAATTCATTATCCGCATAGGTTTTACAGGGTAGAGCAAACTTTGTGGTAAACAAGGGAGTGGAACATGAGCATAGGACAACAGAGGCTGCTAGATCAGCAAAAGACATTTTGAATCATTCCAACTAGTTCTCAAGTAATCAATTCCACCTCGCTCCTTTTTTTCCCCTCAACTATAACAGAAGATGTGTTACAGTAACACAAGGCAGTGATCCACAGTGTTTCGAAAATACATTTAAAACACATTGCCCAACTAAATTGCCCTGTAAAACCAAAGAGGATATTTTTATAAATGGGAAACTAAAAATATCTAATAAGATCGTATAATTCTACCTAGTAAATACACAAAAAGAAWTCTTGTGATAATGCTGTTAAGTTCCAGAAGACAATCACTTGCATATCCAAATACATCCTGCACTTCAAATGCTTAGTTTGCTGTTTCGCCTTCGCAATCACACACCTATATCTATTATGCTCAACTATTCTATTCAGTTACCAAAATAAATCAAATTGACATTTCAGTCGCTTGTTACCTTGATGCTGATGAAATTCATTCCACTCTCTCGAGCAACTACTCCYGCTAGCAGCGTTTTGCCTGTTCCAGGTGCTCCATACAGCAGGATTCCCGATCTCTGTCGTATGGGCAGGTTTGCAAATAGYTGTGGATACTGGAAAAGAATGTCAACAAGATGCTCTAAAATCCATGATTATTTTGCAGTGTCCTGTAATGTCACTGAGTAGTGATAATTTATGTCTCAAAAGAACATCTTTCATTTCTTTTATTTGTGTTACCACAAGAGCTTTTCTGGRCTCTTGTTACTATCCTTGGGGTTGCAGTGACTTTCTAGGCTTCACTGGCATTTAAAATACAAAACCTGGCATTTTCTGCCAAGAGGAAAAGGACAGAACAGAGATGTACCATAGCTCTGAAATGCCCAAACTGGTACTTCTCACCTCCTGCTTAGATAACCAGCTGCTGTGATCAAAGTATGCAAGTCTGGAAGAAAATTGTTGTTGATTATGAAGAAAACTGCTCACTCATTTCTCTGAAAACTGAAATGGAAGATCCAGTGCTAGACTCTCTACAAGGCAGACAGGCCAAAGTGCTATAAGGCAGAATTAATGAATTAGTATTCACTCAAAAAAGGCACTCCTCCCTCAAAAGTCCTGACAACAGCTAGAAATGTCATTTTCAGAGAGTCTAAACAAGTCCTGCAGCGAGGAGCAAAGGATGGTGTTAAGAAAATGCTGGGCAGAAAATGCAACACTGCAATATTCTAGAGCAACAATTCACCTGGGGAAAGACACAAGGGACACTTGGGAGAGGGAAGAGGAAGAAGAAGGTTTTCTAGTAGCTCTGGACTGGGAAGCTACAGATGTAGCTGACAATGAAACCAGGCCTCTTTCTGTAAAACACTATGCTGCACCCTCAAGGTCCACCTTCCCATAAAAGCAATACATACAGAAATTAAGTAATTGGCTTAAAAGAAGGAGGTACCTTGGCAGGTAACATGATAGTATCCATGAGTATTTGCTGCACATCTTTTAAGCCACCAATTTTGTCCCAGCCTATGTCCTTAGGTTTATGAAGGTTGACATTTCTCAGAGCTGATGGGGTAAAATCTTTTAAAGCTTTCTGAAAATCTACAGTTGTCAGAATCAATTCTGCTTTWAGAATGAGAAAACAAAAACAAAACCAAAAATAATGAACATGAAAAAAATCCACATAATAAACAGTAGTATTTAAATACAGTTTAAGAAAGAAACACAAAAACTCTTTTTTATTTCTTTGTTATTCCACAGGTTATTAACAGAAGTAAAACTATGAAATAGAGATATCTGTGAACATACCTCCATTTTCACATATGTTCTGGTTGGAAATACAGGCATGGATGGCACGATCAACCAGCATAGTAAAATCTCTAGCAACAAAACCTTCCGTTTCCTTTGCAATATATTGGATGTCAAGATCAGCAAACCTCTTTATATCACAATTCAGCTTATTTTTTAATACGGAACACAGCATTTCAGATCTTTGATTCTGAAAAAAAGGTTACATAACAAAGATATATAAATTTTCTAGCTATAACGACTTCATATATTCAGAAAATATACATACCCGAGGTACTAAAATTTCTTTCAACATTTCACTTGTCAACAAAACCTCAAATAACAAAATTTATGCTAGAATAAGTATAAAGGAAGTTCACTTTTTCAATAAATTTGAGTTTTGTATTTTGAAATATTTACCTCACTAAAATTACTTTAAATTCAACAACAATAAAACATTGCTTCCTCCTGTTAGGAGCTACTGTTTTATATCTGTTGTTTTTGATTCACAAAAATGAGTCTTTAATTTCTGCCAATAAAATAAAATAAAATACAGTGAATACAAGATTCACTGTACTGCATACCAAATATATCAGTTTGATATCCACCGAGATCCTGATTTTTCCACTGCATCCTTATACATATAGTAATGTTAAAAGGAGGGATGAATTCTGAGAGGAACTATGAGAACGCTACACTCTTCTAAACAATATTTAATACGGAATTCCTTCCCTAATGATTTTTAACATTGCTAGTCTCACAGGAGGAGATTAAGCAGCAACAACTTGTTTTCAATACCCATGAGCTGTCATAAAYGTGTCATGCCACTAAGGAATGTATAGGCTCAAAGTATCTACTTTTTCCTGAAAAAAAAAAATATACTGAGTTTATTTTTCCCTTTCCTTTATATTCTTTCAAAATGGCCTATATTTAAAATTGGAGGGATAGAATGAATACAGAAACAAAACAAAACACCTTGTCATAAATTAATATTKAGTTCTAACGACATTCTAAAAAATACACATCCCAGGGAAGTGCTTATTCCTCTGAGGGCTGAAAGAGAAATAATTTTCCATGTAAAATTTAATTTATTTATCTAGTTATAGTGACCTACACATCCTTTCAAAGAGGTTTGTCTAGAATCTCCTGGTAAGTACCAAGGAGATAAGCGCTTCCACCTAGCAGCTAATCTCAACTAAACTGTTTTAGGTTGCACTAAAACGTCCTCTGGATACATTCTTCTTTCTCAAGAATTCTTCTTTCTCCAGTAATTTAGACTGGATGTCTTAATTTTAGATGGCTAATTAAAGATTAGCCGTTTTTGCTAATTACTTTTGCATATGCAATTATTAAAAGAAAAAAAAAAAAAAAAAGGTCTGCCATATCTAAGCCTTAGGAAAGAACTTTAAGACTTCCAGATTTCTTTTAAAGTTCAGTTTTAAACTACTATTTTTGTAGTTGCTCCAGTACTGTATTTGAGGCTGCAAAGAAGGCTAACAATATCTTAACCAAATTACTAAACGAGTGAATTTACCTGATTTGGAGATTGAATACACTGGAAGCACTGAAATACGTGAGTTCCTTGAGCTGAAACCAGTGAAGGATGTAGGGAATGTTCAGACTGGCTTGTGGCAATTAATGCAATCATACTCCCCATGGATATAACTTCTTTTACCAGATCCTTTAGAACTAGGTAAATAAGACATGGTTTAATGAAATGCAAAATCACAAAAACTCTGTATTTGATATTCAGCATTTCTACAGCACTGGAGAGCAGTATTAGAGCATACAAAATAAAATCGTATTATGTATTTATTTCCATGTTTTGAAGGCTGTTTAAAAGTAGTAACTCTTTCTAAGCACTTATTAAACATGACATTATTAAAATGCCAACAGAAATTTTATGTAAAAACTAAGTTTATAACATCACTAATGATGTCTGTCACCAGATGTTAAATGTCATTTTTCTCTGCTATTACCTCTGCTCTGGAAATATTCGTCTCTTCTGTTTGAAGAAAGAAAGTAAATTTAGAAGAATACCAAATAAATCTTAAGCCTCGAAAGTATGCAATTGAGGAAAAAAAAAACATACAGAAGTCAAAGAAATGTATGGTATGGGTGCAAGGTAGACTATGAACTTAAACTCTTCTGTATGCATTATAATGTAAATAATGGCTTCTGTATATAGTAATTCTATAGCAGCATAACTGAATAAAAATTAAATACAGCTTAAAAAATAAAGGTATTAATCTTGATCATTTACATTTAAATTCCTTTTCCTACAGAATATTTTGATTTGCAATTTATCTCTGGCTAGATTTTAAAGAACAAAAAGCCAAATACAATCTTTAAATCTATCTTATTATAAGCTTATTTTTAAAAAACTATGGATTGCAACCTTGCAAAATAACAGCAGCTTTTATTTTGTAGGATGATAACATAGCATGATAAAGAAGTTGCACAGTCAGCTATAAATCGGTTCTAAATWTAAACTAACAGCATTTTTGTATTTCTGTATCATTATAAGCAATAATTATAAGTATGAATTCTAAAAAGCATTAATGATCAGTTTGTCACTTATCATATTGATCTTCTCAATATGATAATCCATAATTTGAATTGCGACTTATTTGAGAACACAAAAGGTTAAAAGGAACCGACAAGTTTCTGCCTCTGGTGACAGCAGGGACAAGAAGCAGCACCCCGGGCAGCACAGGTATAAAACATCATTACCAACAACCATCCCAAGCTCCCCAAGGATTTCTGAATCCCTGGGATTCAGACAGGAGTACACATCTGCTTTACAGATGATGCACATACCATCATTTGTGAACCCTGTCTGGGAGTACTAAGTGGCAATAGTACTAGTACTAAGTAACAGTACCAAGTACTAATAGTACTAAGTACTAATTAATAGTACTGAGTGACTACAAGCAGAATTGTCCACTTAGGGCAGCACAACGTAGGTGCAAGCAGGTCTCAGCTGCAAGACATTTTTACCAGGCCCTGGCAGCACTGCATTACCATAAGCGAGCCGATTGCTTTGAATCATTTCAGGGCTGTTCTCATGCTCTGGTGTAGAAGATACTCCAACAATGTGATCAAGGTCATCCATTAGAAGAATGGATGGCTGTCTCCACGCTGCCTCTAAAAAGGCTTCTTCCATACTTTTCCGTATGTTTCCTAATCTTTTTCCTGAAAAAAAAAGCATAATCTTAGTGACAAAACACATTAAGAAAAAAACAAAACAAAATACCCTGACTTGGATTAATGACTTATCTCAGGTAGTACTCTAATGTTTGGGTTAATCTGGCTTACTCCTACAAATGTAGATATCTAGCTGTCCACAGTCTACAAAGAAAGGCATCCACCTCCTCCAACAATTCGCCTCCTCAGAAGGTCTCACCTTACCTACAATGGGATTAATCACCTTTCACTAACCACTGGAGGAACAGAGAGGCCTAAGTTCTAGACAGTAAAAAACAGAACAGCCCTTGAAATCAGCTGGAGTTCTTCAGCTAAAGGGATGTTTCAGTGCTAGAGAGCAGGACCTAGCTCTTTACTAGTCTCTCTCCTCTGGAGCAGAAATCTTTACTAGGAACTGTGTAAGAGTAAAGGAGTAGAATTGTGCATTAGGTGCCTGTTTCAAATTAAATAAATAAATGCCAAATGAACAGCTGAGTAATCTCCGTATGCAAAACAAGGTTGTTGGGAAAAGTCCTGCAAATGAAAAAGCAAAGAAATTCTCCTCTGTCATGSTGCAACATATTGTTTTGAACTCACAAAATATACATGTTCATTTTACTATCATGTGTTCATCAACACCATCATCTATTCAGTTAATRGTCACCATTATATTGCTGCGATCCATTAGGTTAGTGAATATGTATTTTAAATGAAGTTTCAGCTTGCTGCTTGATTCTTCYCTATGCCATCCTTTCACTGAGTAATATAGGTATTCTTTAATATTTAAGATTTGTTAATGTATTTTTTTCAGCTAGCACAGTTGAAAAAAACCCACGAAGTTCAACTTACAGAGGAAAGMAAAAAACTTTGAAAAATTATTCAGACAGACTAAATATGATATTATAATTATGCTTCATCACATAGCAGATGTTTGAGAATGAAAGGATATTATCATACCTCTTAAAGCTTTACAGTCAATTACCTCGACATGAGCATCCAGTCTATCAAATGCTTCTTTGCAGATGGCCTTTGCTAAGGTTGACTTTCCACTTCCCTACGAAATGAAAAATTAGAGGCTAATGAAAMGTAACAGGACTCTTTCCTTCTGTTTCTGTGGACTTCTTGCCATAGCACACCCAAGCTGAGAAGCTGGCAAAGCTATACACACACAGACTTTTTTTTCCTTATTGTGATATACTCWCATGAAATATGAATCTGCATTAAATCACAGTAGTGTATTATGTATAATATATATCACATGCTTATTATATATAATAACATATTATATGTTATTCATGGAYTATATATGTATAGTATTGTGTATAGATGATTATAATGATCATGTTTTGTAACCGCAGGAACCAAACTCTGGCAGGGTTTGCAAGGGAAGCAGCCCAGGCTGTACCTTTCCTCCTGTGAGCAGCACTGCCCCGTTGCGCAGCCCCACAGCGAGAGCAGCCAGCTTCTGAGACAAAGGACGCCCCAAAAGGCTGTGGCTGATGTGCTCCAAGGAAGCTGTTCCTAATCTGTCCACTCCCCTGCAGAGCAAATAAAGCATCAAATGGGCTGTGGCAGCATCAGGACACGTAACCTGAAGAGTCACCGCGTGCAACGCGGTGGGATTTCAGTGCTGACACAAAGTGCTTGGTTTTAAAGAAGAGGTAGAGACAATTTGAAGAAACAACACTGTGTGAAACAGTGACACATAAGGGGCATAGACAGACACTGCAGAACATTCCCATCAGTAAATGGCTAAGTAATTCCTCACCACCTAATACGAGGTGTATTTCAGCACAGGKAGCTAACTTCAGCTCTTCCATGCTTTAAGGTATTTGAATGTTTAAGTAACAACTAACTAAGGAATGTAACAAATGGGTAAACATGGAACAAACCTAGATGAGAAATTTTTTCAACCCTTCAAGGCTGAAAATTTCGGAAATGAAGCAGCAAATAGTTCACACAAAGACATCCTTAATTCTTCACTTGTCCTAAATCTTTGTAACTTCTGACAAAACAGTACTCATGCAAGGCCATCAGTTTCATACTCCAACTTGAAACAAAGTATGTCATTCCTTGCGAAAAGGAAGGAAGGAGCAAAACCTGGTTTCTAACATCCCCTACCCACCCCTACAACTAAGCCCAGGCCAGTCCTCCTTTCCTCTTCAGTGTAATATCCTCAGCTGCTTTTCCCCATCCCTACAACACACTACTGCAACACTCCAAATCTCATGTCCCCTCTCCCTCTACCTCAAGCTTGCTACACAGCATCATTATTACTCCTTATAATAGAAATATATATATAATGATAAAAGGATACATATATATCCTATTTCTTGTAATAGGAATGTAACATATATATGAGGATAACTGCTCTCCAGAGCACTGAGTTACTGTCCAGGAAAGAGCCAGCATGGCTCTTCCCAAACGATACCTCTGCCACTGGGTGCCCAGGAAGATAATCCAAAAGCAGCTGTTGAGTTTACACCAGTATATCCTTTTCCCCAGTGGTGATACTGTTCTTAATTCCTCCCCTCTACCTGACAGTTTTGATAAAGCTSTAAGGAGTTAATTTCTTTCAGATATCTACTATAGGCTAGTTTTAACCAAAGGTAAGTTAGTGTGGGAAGGGGACTGAGAAACTCTTGCATTTCTTAAGTTTTGTTTCATTTGGAAACCCAGCTAAAAAGCTCCACAACAATCTCGGTGTTCCTTAGTGCCACAGCAGTCTCCTGTTTCACAAAAGCACATCATGAGCCAGCAAACTATTTCTCTGAAATCTAGGCAGCTCTGAGAAGTCACATCCTCCTGTCAAACACCGAATGTTCCRGTACGTCAGTAACCATCACGTGAAGTTTTCTCTTCACTCCAGTGAGGCTCTTCAGAGGACTAAATTAAGCACCTACATATTAAATTTAAGGACAACCTGAGTGAGAGGTGCTAAGGTGACTAAAGATGCAGAGTTTAAATTTGGCTGAAGTTTTCAAAAAACGTGCATTTTCACCAAATTCCTTCTCATCTCCACTCCCTCCAGTATTTTCTACTATGAAAGTTTCTCACCCAAGATCATTYAGTTTGTGGTAAGGAGGGCTCCTGTCTGTATCACACACAGGTAGCTGGCCATCACCATCAACTTTTCCAGTCAGAGGATGTAAAAGAACCTACATCAAGGGAAAAAAATTACTTTGCATTAACAGTATCTGAAAAGGGAAAAAGGGACACAGAAGTAGCTACCTTTTCTTTGGAATCTGTGTGAAAATATGCTGCATGTGTGCATTTGCAAGCCAATTTTTCAGTTCAACTCACCAGGCAGCTCGTATGAAAAGGCAAACAGGACTAGCAGAGGGGGCTGCAGATAGAAACAGGCTGGTAGGAGACATTTAAAGCTGGCTATTAAAAATACGTATGGCTCTTTCATCTTACTACCAGTCATAGCATGTTTTATGCTTTATAGAAGTTTTCTTGCACTTCTGGAACAGGAATCTTAAATTTTGCATGGAAATTCTGAATACTCAAATAAGACTCATTCTCTACCAAAATTTGACTGCACCAATTTAAAAGGGGAAAAAAAAAGGTATCTCTCTACAATAAGCATAACCCTGGAGTCACAGGCATAGGTTCAATTAGAATTATTAATGGAAAGGATAAGCCTAATACTAAACAGAAGCACTTATTCTTCTGAGAGAAAAAGGAGAAAATGGAGAGACAGAGGACAAAGAAACCATATATATAATAATAAAAAAAAAAAGCATTGGGAGCTTGGTAAGCTCGGATAGAGAGTATGATTCATCTCTGACAGAAGAAGCCACTGTTCTTGCCAAGTGCATTGTGATTTTACAGTGGTTAATGTATCAAGTATCAAGAATCAGGTATAAGGATAGGATATCCACACTTGCATGCAAATGACTGCATTTCATTCAGTTTYATTCATTCAATTTATTTCATTGAGAGTTTGATAGGGACTATGAAACTCAGTGACCAGCCTGGCATGCATGGACTCCCACCAATGCCTCATGCTACAAAATAACATAGAAAATACAGAAAGAATTCAGTGAACTGACCAACGTGCATTACATATAATTCAGATATATAAATTCATATTTTTAATCAAAGTTAACAATTTAAGTTACTTGATACCTGATATTATGTGATATTTACTTGTATATTTGTCTTTGGCAGAAAAGTGGGACTCAGTATAAAAATATTCTCAGACTTATTTTCTTCAGTGTGAGTAGAATGTCCTACACCAAGGACAAACTCCTCTGTGCCTGCAGAAACACAAACGGACAACTGTTAAAACACCAAATAATAAATAAAGGAATTTATTTGAAATGGTATAAACAGTGTTTTAAAGAAGGTATACTGCCTAAGAAATTCCATAATGGTACATACAATACAATAAGAGCAGAAACAGTGTTATCCTTACTTTCTTTAAAAGAAAGCTGTACACAGTCTGTGCTGGTCATTATCCAGGGAAGATCCTCAGTAGCAGAATTCTGCAGCCAAGAACTGAAGGCAGATTTAACATCACCTTCGTCTACATCTTTATGCTAAATGAGAGAAAAAAAATAATATCAGGGATAAAGAACTGATTATACATATGCCCTGCAATGGTGGAAAGGGCTGTAAATAAAATGTTGCTAGGCTGGAACCATTGTATTTCAGATGAAGATCTGGTGCAAAAACACGGCCAACATCCCTTAGTGGGCAGCAACTGTTCACAGGTGAGACCCTACTGGAGACCTACTCAAACAACAAATGCACCTTCTGCCTTACCAATGACAATATGTTAACAAGGATATCATCACTACAGAGAAAGAGAAAAAGAGAAGAAATTTTCACCATTTGACAACACAGGGAAACCCAGTGACCTTATCAGTGCCACACAGCATTCCTCCAACAGCGTGAGGAAAGTAGAAGTTTTATCTCCTAYACTCTGTGACACCTTTGTCACTTCTACTAGACAGAAAAATCATTACAGGATAAAATGCAGAACAGATCAGTGGCTGATGTGAACAGTATCATGGACTGAAATACAAAATAGTACTACTAGATAAACTTGCCATAAATCACAGCATTTTCTTAATTTAAATAAATCACACAGTASAATCAAAAAGTAAATGATTATTCAGAAAAGAAACGCCTTCGGAATGATATTTCCTTCAAATATTAGCCATATATTGTAAACAACTTCCAAACTAACAAGTAAAAACAATGAAACATTGAGAAACAACTCCTGACCAGAGAGCAACATTATCATTTTTCAATATACAAACAAGTGTCTGAACAAGAACGTCAACTCACTAAGTTCTCTTTGGGTTGTAGGGTAAGAGATGTGGGAATCTTAGGAATAGAGTCTAGTGACTTAATTCGGACTGCTGAATGCATTTCTATGCGTAGCTTCTTTCTCAGACCATCTGGAATCTGAAATAATTAAAAGCAGAGAGGGAAGAAATATCAGAAAATAAAACAGCTGCATTGAATTTCAGTTTCTTTGTCACTGAAAGAAATCACGACCCCAAATTACATGTTCACTGGCTAATTCCACTATTACCCATCGAGAAAATACTTTATGAAAAGCTGTAAAAATAGTATGCTTATACTGACCCAAACTCTTCCAGCGTGTAGGGTTTCCCCATTGCTGCCATGCTCAATGACACTCTTGAGATCTTCAAATCCGTTCCAAACGATCTGAACAACAGCCCCCTCCGTGGCTGGCTGGCTGCTGCCAGGATGATTTTTGTGCTGTGTGCTGGCCACAGGCTTTTGCCTTTCGAGCAGCAGGTTTTGCTTGGCTTCTTGAAGCCGCTGCCTCGGGKAGAGCAGCTCACTGATTCTCCCGTAAGAGACCACGGCAGCTGGATCCAGATCAACAAAATCTAAACTCCAAGGGAAAAGGTGAACGGCGCTGTGTTTCAGGAAGGCCCGCGCGGGCGACGCGCTCTGCACGCTGGGCGGCGGGGAGCCACACACTCTAAAAATGGAATCCATGTGAATTAAGTTGAGCAGCTCATCTCTGAAGGCTTTCACTTCATCTTTGTCACACAAAGTCTTTTGCTTCTGCTCAGACGAGCGAGAGAAAATGCTCCCTATGAAATCCCAGATATTCGAGCTGAGTGTCACATTCGCATCAGGCTCACGCTGCTCAGGGACTCCTGGCTTTACATGAGCCTGCTTGGCCAGTGGCTCCTTTGCTGCTGCTTCTTGGCCCGAGTTATTTTTCCCAACTCTTTTGAGCAAAGTGTCCCTTTCTGTGSAAGGCACGCTGGTGAGACTTGCCTCAAGCTGGCGGCTTTTAGGGCATATCAAAAGTTCCGTGCGAGGTTCTAACCTCCCGTAAGGGGCAGCTGGGCTAAGTGCACCTGAATGCAAACAAAACACACAGTGAAAGTCACTCACTCTTGCAAAACAGCAATCTGAAAACGCCACAAGGTCTTTCACTGTTGCATACCAATTTTGATGTAGAYGTGAGTATGCTGTTCAACCCACACAGGAAAGATGGCTTTGGGGAAGACGATTCGAATCTGGTCAAGAAGCGTTTTTTCAAGTGAGGAAGCATTCAATTCCTRGGAAAATATAATGTCATTAGAAATTAGAACCTTCATATATAAAGTGTGCATTAAAACTGTACGAAACAGAGGGACCTGGACAGACTGGAGGACTGGGCGGCGAGAAACCTCATGAGGTTCAACRRGGGCAAGTGCARGGTCCTGCACTTGGGGAGGAATAACCCTGGACACCAGTACAGATTAGGGGTGGACCTGCTGGAGAGCAGCCCCGCAGAGAGGGACCTGGGTGTCATGGTGGACGACAAGTTGACCATGAGGCAGCAGTGTGCCCTGGTGGCCAAGAAGGCCAACGGGATCCTGGGGTGCATTAAGAAAAGCGTCTCCAGCAGGTCGAGGGAAGTGATCATCCCCCTCTACTCAGCCCTGGTGAGGCCACATCTGGAGTACTGTGTCCAGTTCTGGGCTCCTCAGGACAAGAGGGATGTGGAGCTGCTGGAGAGAGTCCAGCGCAGGGCTACCAGGATGATCAGGGGCCTGGAACATCTGCCCTGTGAGCAAAGGCTGAGGGAGCTGGGCCTGTTSAGCCTGGAGAAGAGRAGGCTGAGGGGGGACCTGATCAGCGTGTATAAATACCTCAAGGGAGGCAGTGAGGAGGAGGGGGGCGGCCTCTTTTCAGTGGTGGGCAGTGATAGGACTAGAGGAAATGGCTTCAAACTGAAGCATCGGAAGTTCCACAGGAACTTAAGGAAGCATTTCTTCACTGTGAGGGTGACAAAGCACTGGAACAGGCTGTCCAGAGAGGTTGTGGAGTCTCCTTCTTCGGAGATCTTTACAACCCACTTGGATGCAGCCCTGTGCCACGTGCTCTAGGTGACCCTGCGTGAGCAGSGGGGTTGGACTCGATGACCTCTGAGGTCCCTTCCAACCTTSGKCATTCTGTGATTCTATGATTCTATGAAACCCTATAACTCTTTCTAATAAACTATCTGAAATACAAAACACTACAAAAAAAACTAAACATTTATCAGAGGAAGTAAAGAAGATAAGGGGATTGTGCTAGACACTACACATGCCTCTAATCTTTTCTCTGYGAGGAAGAGATGTGAACAACAGAAAGAATTTTATTACCAGTATTTCCCAATCATCTGCTGAGAGCGGCTCCACTTCTACTTGCTGACAGGAAGAGACGTGTGAACAGGGTTCAAGGAACACCTGACAAAAAGTAGAAGCACTTTGATCTATTTAAATCCCTATTTTAAATAAATATCTGTTTCATGAAGGTGAACGTTTTGTATCTGACAGACAGTGATGAAGCAACTTGAAGCTGCGCAAGCACATGAAACAAGACGCCACGACACAGCCAACCTGTAAATCATTAATCCTTCAAAAAAAAAGAGAGTCTTCATTTCAAACCTGTTCTCCATCTGTAATGCCAAGTTTCTCTGCCAAATGTCTGTTAATCTCTGCAATATTTTCACTCTGGTGCCCCCGATGCCTCATTTCCATCCATCCCAAAAATACAGCCTGGTGACTGCCGGAAACCTTCACAGCTTGGCCCTATTAGTTTCAGGGAAATAAAATAAATTAGCATCACACATAATATAAAGATTATGATTATATATAAATAATATAAATAAAAATATGATTATTCAAACTGAAGCATACATTTTGAATTCCATTCTGTTCTCTAATCAAATATTTTCTGGATTTTACCAGCCCAGTTTTRATGACTATTCCAAAGCTGTAATATACCACGTTTCTGTTAATGAAAATGTTTYGGTGCTGGTGGACTGGTCCATCAACTTCTGCACCATCCAGACTTTTCTCTGAAGTCTTCAACCTGCTCCCTCTCCGTACCACTCAACACAGAAGCCCTCGCTGCTTTCAGTGTTTAAACAGTTTTCAATGTTTACTCATTTTTAAGCGTATTCCCCTTTTTCTCTATAATGATCTACAACCAAATATCCCAGAAATACATAACTAGACGTTTCTATTTCCCACTTGTGTGTGAGAGGGGAAATACATGCCTAAGCTCCCATGCGCGTTCCCACCCACAGCGGGGCTGTTGGRCGGGCTTTCAGGGGCAGGCCCGCACTGAGGAGGCCGCGCCGCCCCCGGCCAGGCTCCTGGACCCGCAGGCGGCCGCGGGGCAGCCCCGCGCGCTCCCCCCGCCCCACAGGCCTCCAACGTCCCTCTAACTCCGCCATGGAGGCGGCCGGGGGGGAAGAGGGTCGCTCCGTGTCACCATGGCGACGGCGCGGGGAGATGACGTCAGCGCTGAGGATGGCGGRCAGCGCTGCGCACCGCCATGGCAACGGGGTGTCGGGGCGCCGCTCTCCCACAATGCCCTGGGCGCGCGGGCCTCGTCGCGGTACCTGCTGCAGGCCGAGCCGGGAGGCCAGCGGGGGCGGCAGGCGCAGGAAGCAGTCGCGGCTCCCGCCGAGGACGGCCGTGACGGCGGCCACGCCGGCTGCGGCGCCGCCGCCAGAGGGCGGGCGGGCCCCGCCCCGCCAGTGGCGTGCGCCGCCACCAGCCAACGGGCGCGCGGCGTGCTCCCCACCCCGCCTTCCCATTGGCTGCTCCATCGAGCGCCTCGGCTGGTTGTGCCTGGCGCCGCGCGCAGCCAATGGGAGGGCGGCGGGCGGTGCGCAGCCAATG